CCATTATCGTATATATATATGTATGTATGTATGTATGTATATGTATATCATCAATCAATTCGGAGCAAGTGGGAATGGATCTGTTGTCTTTATTTCTCTTTTATTTCTATCAATAAAGTTATTGCCAATTTAGTTAGCGTTTTTAGAAAGTTCAACTTTTTTATGGCTCTCATTTATGCAGTGAATAACACGTTATGTAGTCCATATGTACATATATATATATATATATATACATATATATGTATAAACGTGTATATATACACTTTGCTGCCAAGATTTCGGTTGAATACAAAGACGGTCAATAATTTATTTCATTTATATTTGTTTTATAAGCATTGATTTGTATATAATTGCATATATACGAGCTTGAAGAAATCTTAAATTAATTATCATAATTGATATATATATATACATATATATGAGATACATATACATATACAGAGAAGCATGTGTATAATAATCGTAAAGGAAATTAAAATTAAGCAACAACTAATCAAACAATCAAACTAATGGAATTGAGTCTTACCAGATGGATCTGGCTTTTCTTCGTTCCAAAAGACACCGTCTCTGGACTCTCTGTGCTTCCAAAACGGCGTCGCTTGGTCCATTAGAATAATCCAAACGCGGTGTTGCACTGCTTCACGCTTCACCTTCCAAAAAGGACTCAACCAGAGCGCATGTAACGGAAAAGTACCCTTTATTTTGCAGTCTCGTCAAGTAATTGGGATTAGTCTGATGAATCGAAAGCCCAAAAATTTCACTAAAATGTCTTCCATGGAGTTTCGATTACGGAAAAGTACCCTTTATTTTGCAGTCTCGTCAACTAATTGGGCTAGGTCTGATGAGTCGAAAGCCCAAACATTTCACTTAAATGTCTTCCACGGAGTTTCGATTTTCCATTTCTATCTCAAGAGGCCCAAGATCTCTCTATATATTACACAGATCGGTCCTCTTGTCACTTCGCTTCCTAGGGTTTCTCTCTTACAGGGTTTTCCCTGGTGAGTAATTATTTCGCCCCGGATTTCTCTTCCTTCGTTTTTATTTTCTTATCCTTAATCGCGTTTAACCTATTGTATTTGATTTATTGTACGGGAAATTTATCGGGGGATTTCTCAGTGATGAACAAAACGATGACGAGTCCGATCTCTAAATCTAATCCATTCTCCTTGACGACAAATCGAGGCATTTGTCTGAGAGAAATCCCCCCCTCTTTTTTTGTTATTTTGATTATTGTATGTCGATATTTGAATGGGGGAAATGGGGCGATGATGAAGAAAATGATCTTTTATTTTATGAGGCGTTTCTCTGATTATGTTTCAAGCACTTTTGAGCCGATTTCCTCAATTCTTAGGGTTTATCTGTTTTAGGGTTTTCAGATTCGTTTTCTTCGCCTTTTCAGTTTGTAATTGTAATGGCGAGAATGATGAGTCGATTAGATGTGCGAAAGGAAAAGTTCCATTATGAGCTCAAACTTTCGAGGCTTATTGATATTCTGACTCGCTTAAAAAAAATATTTACTTTGTAAATTAATATTTAAACATTGATATTCTGACCAATTCAGTAGTCCATGACAGAGGGCGACGATGGATGCATATTTCGTCGTCCCCGTCTCTGGTCTCTAAAGCTTGCCGTACCTGCCGTGCATCTAATTCCAAAATCCCCGGGCCCCGAACGTTATGGACAACGCAGCCAAGTAGCTTTGCAAGGAAAGGTGGCTGGCAACTAGGATGTCTTCCTGACCAAGGCATTTTTTGGCCGAGTTGCGAATTGTTGACCCAAACCCGGATACAGGCGGATGGTGGAGCACGGTAGTGTCAGTATTACATTTTCATACCTCTGGTTCTGGGGGGCGCCAAAAAATGGCAGGCTGATTGTCATGTCTCCACTCAGCAAGGAACTTCCGCAACAGATAGACGGTGATACAGTCCACAAACACATTCCCAAACAAGATCATTACGCCGCATGCAGCGCAGGAGCTCAGCCACCATCTATTTAGTCTCAGATTAAAAATTGAACTTATAAAATAGGATCCCGAAATTACAATGGTGGTTGAACAATTTAAATATGAATCACAATTATCATCTTGAAAACCAGTTAAAAATTCATCGTGAATTTGAACTATGGCCTGCAATGGAGTTTCTTGGCAATGTAACGTCTACTTATAAATGCCTGAAGGGGCAGGTGGGTTGATGATTAAAACTAACATATTAACGCACCTTCAATATATTTAACTATTCTTATAATATCAATAATTTATAATTTTTATAATTATTATATTTATAGTATGATAAAAAAATATTTATTTTAACTTATGGTTGGTAATATTGTTAAATACGTAGTCGTTTTTTTTTTATCATACTATTAATTTTTATAAAATATAGAAGTTCAAAATTTTATGATGAATAAATTGAAGCCCACTACTCGTAATTAATTGGCTAGTAATTTTGCATTGTATTAATAAAATATATAAGTCAAAAGTTAAGGATGGATATATTAAAACTTAAAAAAAAGCTAATTTTATTATTATAACATTAAAAAAATTAATTGTTTTTGTATAAAATTAAAAAAAAAATTATTAAATTTATTTGTATTAAAAATATTAAAAATCAAATTATGTAATATTAAATTGGATATGTTTTAAAAATAATATTTAATTTTAGTGGTACCATTCTTTATATACCGCAAAATATTATAAATTTTATCTTTGGTTATAATAATAAGTGTAGTATTTAATATAAAAATTATATATATTTTAAAATTTTAAATTAACTAGCATTAAATTGTTCGTAATTTTAATACATTTTTTAAAATTTAAAGTTATCCAATATCACATGTTTCGTATGATCATATTCATAAAACTTTATTTTTTTTTTTGTATGAAAAATGAAATTTTGAATGAATAATATATTCTATTAAGTTTTAAACTTCGTTTAAGTCATAATAATAGTATCTTTAGTTTCTTTAGGTTCACTCCGAACCGGATGCACGAAACTGTGTGCTACCACTTACGGTGATACAAAACGGTGTAATCTCACATGCGGTTGATGGCAGGTCATTGACTTCGTTTCACTTGGGTAGCGCAATGCGCAACGCGGCACATGTTAGATGCAGCCACCGCAGCCGCTTCAAAAATAACTAACTGCTCGCTTTACGCAACACCACCTGTTCAAGTTTTCTCTCCTCTTTCATCCTCTTTTTACCCGGATAGACCATGATTTCTACGGTAAATTACGAATATGCTACTATCTACATCGGACAATTTTGATCACTCAAGAACTCAGATTATTTACGAATATTAACAAACATTTCATTTTGGTTTTGCTGGTTTTCGGAAAATGGAGCAGCAGAGAAGTATGTCTGGAAGCCCTAAATCTCCGTCATCGCAGCCTTTCCTATCGGTTTCGGTTACTGATCCTGTGAAATTGGGCAATGGCGTACAATCCTACATCTCTTATCGAGTCATCACGAAGGTAAACTTTTTTTTTTTAGCCAATTTGGTTGGTATTTCTCTTGCGGTTGTTGTACGGGGATTAGGGTTTTATGCGAGAGCAATGGTGATTTGAGATTATAACTTTGGTTGTGTAGTTGTTGAGTCTGGGATTGGTATATATTTGCAAAATTAAGTTTGATGTTTTCGCGCTTAGAATTATGGAGATGGCACAGAACTGTTAATTTTAGCTCCTGATTTTTCATTTTGAGAAAGATGCGACTGTGTGGAAATAATAGAAGGAGAGATTGTTTATTAGTCACCCAAATTCGGATGTGCAGTTGTTCATCACCCAAATTTGTGATTTATGTGATCTAGTTGTATTGCGGTGGCTAGCCCCTTGAACATTGATGGTCATGTGAATGAATCATCTTGACTAGGTGGAAGTCCTCCATGCCCAAAAATTTAGCAAGTTGGGAGGACAAGTTTTAATTTGACGGAATTCATGAGTAGTGTACATGCTGTTATGTATATCGGAAACGAAGTTAGCTGGACTTATTTATGCTAATAACAAACCTCCGGCAATTCTTAGAAGGAAAATGCAATGAATATGTAAACTGGATTTTGTCTATACTTAGGATGATATGTGGATTTAAACGTAAGTTTAAAATGGTAATAGTCACATATGGAAGCTGTTACAGAAACGAGGGCTCCTGTTATGTATCAAAGAATCAAAGAATAAATATTGTTTTGTTTGTACCCATAGGCCTAGTCTAGCAGCAGGTGCATTTTTTCTTATAGTGTTTATGGGTTAAAGAGAATTGAAGAGTAATTCCCATTATTAATTGGTCTAAGTAATAGCCTTTTAAGTGTGTTTTCTTTTGTGTTTTGTCCTGGTGCATGATTGCTGGAAAGTTTGGCGTTTGATGGATAGGTTTGTATAACCTAATTGTTTTTTTCTCTTCCACTGTGTTTTAGTTTTACTAGGTTTTCTGAAAATAATGGATCTGCGAACTAAGCAATTTATGCTATATTTCATGTTCAAGAGGCTGACTGTTTTGGCAGACTAACTTTCCTGAATACCAAGGGCCAGAGAAGATTGTCATTCGGCGTTACAGTGATTTTGTCTGGCTACGTGACCGTCTTTTTGAGAAGTACAAAGGCATTTTCATTCCCTCTCTTCCAGAAAAAAGTGCTGTAGGTAATGTCAATGAAGTCATACTTCTTTATGCCAATTGGTCATTTGTTACGCATTCCATGGAGCATGCTAAAACATGAGTTTAGGTGATATCTTTGTTGATGCATCAGTGAGTATCTAGGAATTTGAACTGTAGATTTTGCTGCATTATTTTGCTTTAAAAGTTTCTCAAGCTTGGTGGACCTGACTTGGTTCTCCCTTGATCAGAGAAGTTTCGTTTCAGTGCTGAGTTCATTGAGATGAGACGACAGGGATTGGATATATTTGTCAATCGGATAGCTTCACATTATGAGCTTCAGCAAAGTGAGGATCTTAGAACCTTTTTGCAGGCAGATGAAGAGGTGAGGATTTCAAGCTTTATTCACTGATCCAGACTGATGACATGTAGTTTTTTCTTTTAATTATAGTTTTCATCTTCTTACTTTGTTTTCCTTTCCAGTCTGAGATTCAATTGGAAAATCATTCTTGTTATCAAATCTTTGTATCTTCAAATGGTCGCTACTGATACTGATTTTCTGTAACCATTGATATTGATTTTCAGAAACCCTCTTACCATTCTAGTTTGAATTTTATTCATAGCAGTAGTTTATGCATGACTGTTTTTTTTGTAATGAACAAATTTTTTGAAACCTGCCTTATGAATTATTTGGCTCTGATTTATATCCTGTTTTGTCAGACAATGGAAAGGTTAAGGTCTCATGAGACTGGTATTTTCAAGAAGAAGCCTGCGGATCTCATGCAAATCTTCAAGGTAAGATATCTATGTCATGATATTAGGGTTATGATTATGTAAGGAGAGGGCAAACTACTCTAATAGATACTAGCAATGTTTGTGGGAGTGTTAAACTGAAGCATTCTGCTCTAGTGCTTATTTGTATTACCAGTGTTGGGTTTATCAGTTATATTAATGTTCAGTTAACAGCTAGTTGAAGTTTCTCATATTTACCATTTCTTTTTTATCATGAAAGAAGGTAATTTCTACTAAACATTTTTTTCTTAATTTGGTTGTTTGATCTCTAGAAACTTGTATCCATTATATGGAAATTTTCTTTATATAGCCAAAATACTAGACAAAAATATTAATTCTGTCCAGAGTATGTCATTCTTTACATTTTTCCTGGCTTCTGTGTCTGCACTGCTTTCTTTCAGGATGCACGTATTAGACAATATCAATGTGTGATATTTTGAAACATTTATATTTTATCCTATGGAGTGGGTTTCTATAGTTTCCTTATTTTCCTGCTTAATGAATTGGCTTTCATCTTCAGAGGTGGAAAAAATGGTCACATGAATTATGTCATCCATTTGAGTGAATAATTTAATGTTGGAATGACCTTTCTGAACAATTGACAGGATGTGCAATCTAAAGTTAGTGATGTGGTCCTTGGGAAGGAAAAACATGTTGAAGAGTCGAATCCTGAATATGAGAAATTGAAGAACTATATTTTTGAGCTTGAGAATCACTTGGCTGAAGCACAAAAGCATGCATATCGTCTCGTAAAGAGGCATAGAGGTAAAAAGGACTTTGCAGTCAGTTTTATTTTGGATTGCTAATGTTTATTATGTCTCGCAAATAGTTAAGGGGCTTAATTGTATAGATGATGCTTGTTTATATTACAGAGTTGGGGCAATCACTGTCAGATTTTGGAAAGGCAGCAAAGCTTCTT